TTATTTTTATTTTATGTGTATGAGTGTATTGCCTGCAGGTGTGTAAGTGCACCCATGTCATGCAATGCTGCAGAGGTCAGAAGAGGGCATCGGATTCCCCTGGAACTGGATTTAAGGACAGCTGTTAGCTGCCCTGTGGGTTCTGAGAATCAAATCCGGGTCTTTTGTTACAGCAATCAGTGCTCTTAACTGCCGAGCCATCTCTCCAGCCCTGACAAATAGTAAAATATTTTTGAAAACAAAAGATTGCTTCCTAATCTGTGTCATGTCTTAAGTAATAAATGATACATCATCAAAGGATTTCCTATCTCATGGAACTTATTAGAGCTCTCTTGCAATTGAAAACTTTGCATGTGTTAATGACATGACTAACTCTGGCTTTTGTTATGGATACTAAGATGCTCAGGATAACTGACAGGTTTTTCAGTTTAAAATGATCAGATTCTTCTGTAGCCTGGATCTTGTCAGGCTCTGTGAAGAAAAGTAGTAGTACATTCTGTCATGAATTAAGATCCTGAGGAAACACTCCTGAAATAGATTCAACTCTTTACAATAAAATTTGAACTATGGCTTGTGCTTATATTAAATGTTTTACCTACTTCAACCACGTCTTCATGAGATGTATTGGTGTTGGTGATTTCGACTTGCCAGTAATGTCTCTCTTCATTTTCTTGGCTATTCTTAGTTATGTCACTCATTTTATGGACACCTGAAATATTAAAAATAGCAATTTCCATCAATTGTGTACAAGTTTTTATGCAGTTCAAACACAAAAGTAGTACTCTCTTATCACCCTACTGTACATTTATTTATTTTTATGTGTATGAGTATTTTGCCTGCATGTATATAGTGCACTATGTGTGTGCAATGCACATAGAGACCAGAAGAGGGCATTGGATCCCATGGAACTGGAGTTATGGATGGTTGTTAGTCACCATGCAGGTGCTGGGAAATGAATATGGGTCTTCTGCAAGAGGCATGGCATTAAACTGCATGACAAATAACCCAATATAATAATTTTTCTTTCTTGGTCTTTTTGAGACAAGGGTCTCCTTGTAGCCCCAGATGGTCTGCAACTATGGAGATCAGGCTGGCCTCAATCTCACAGAGATCTGCCTGCCTCTGCCTCCCAAGTGCTAGAATTAAGGGCATGAGGGCATGTAGACCAGGCTGGTCTTGATCTCATAGCGGTCTCCTGCCTCTGTCTGTCAAGTGGGATTATATGTATGCCACCTATAATGTGGTATGCCACCACATCCATCAAAAAATTCTTTAGTAGAGTTTATGTCATTCCTTTCCAAAAGTAAAACCTCATATACTGTTTTTCCTTTCCTCTTGATAAACATTCTCTCATCATGATATATTATTTCTTTGCTTCACTTTTCTCACACTAATGTGAGCACTTTAAGAGGAGACATACTTGTGTGATTACTAAAGTTACCATCACAATTAAAATGCGATGAGGTAATCAGAAAGCAAGTGTTGCAATAATGTCAATAAATGCCTAATTCAAGAATAATATGGTAATAAAGAAGGAAAACAGGATTTTGGTAAAGTTATCAATGTCTAGTATACAGGAAAAAAAAAAAATACTTCAACCTAAGCCCCCCCACGCCCCCAACAGGGTGACAGTTTAACAATGAACACCCTGTTTGGAAACCAAAACAAGTGTCTGATCCACCAGACCAGCCATCTTCAGGACTGAGTTTGAACAAAACTTGCTGAAAACAGTCCAACATGACTAATATTTGCTGTTGTCCTCCCTTGTCCAGTGTGCATTCACTAACCTGAAAAGTCCCAGACTGAGGCATCAGCTCCACTCCATGGCCCAAACCCATGTTCCAAGTTGAAGATTAACTCAGGTTTGGTTATACAGTGCCCTGTAAATGAGAAATGATATACAATTTGTGACAAAGTGCTGAATAAAGTCCATGGATGCAGACAACTCCATTTTGGGAACTGTGCTAGTAGGATGAATGAATTAGAAATTTTCCTCCCTCTCTCTCTCACCCTCCCTTTCCCTTTTCTTCGGTGTACTGGATTTGGTACCTATGGCCCTGCACATGCTAGGCAAGCACCATATTAATGAGATATAGCCCTAGCTCTAAACGAATTTGAAACCGTTATAAGAGAAGTTTTACACACATGTTCTCCACTGACTGGGAACCAAACTCTTGTCTTTTTGGAAGTTGCTTTGTAGACCCAGCTGGCCTTGATCTCATAGAGATCCTCCTTCCTCTGCCTCCCAAGTGCTGGGATTAAATGTGTGCACAACCACACCCAGCTATTCACTGACTGGAAATGCCACCCTCAAGTGGCATTAAACTAAATGATTTTAAAAAAATATTTTATTAATTTTTTTTACATTTTATAAGCCAGATATATTTTTAAAAGATCATGCTTACAATAAATAAATTATGTAGTGAAGAAATGTCAAAATAAAACTGATGAATAAAAAGATACATTTGAAAAGTTCAAGGATAGAAAGAGTTCTTTTTTTCTTTTTCTTTTTCTTTTTCTTTTTCTTTTTCTTTTGTTTCCTAATATAGGAGAAAGGGAAACAGATATATTACAATTATTTTCTCAGGTGAAGGTTTCTCTCAGTGGGAGTGATTAACACTGACTTCTTTTCTCCTGTGTCCAGGGCAGCTTTTTCTTTCCTTGGCTTCAGAGATGCAGTTAGTCTTCTGCTACGTAGATGTGGTATATCAGGGCTACGGTCAGGGTGGAGATAGCTGGATCACCCAGTTGGTCCACCAACTGGAATCAGACTCTACAGTAGTAATAAGAGTTTCCAAAGGCTCAGCTAACTTCAATCTATTATCTGGGTAGTGTGAGGACCTGAGTTCAAGTCCCTAGCACCCATGAAAAAAGCTGGGTGTGGCTGCACACACCTGAAAACTCAGTGGTAGATGTAGGATTGGTGAGGATGGCTGTCCACCAACCTAGCCCCTGGTTCAGTGAGAGACCCTCAATAAATAAGTGAGGCAGAGAGTGACAGAGAAGGATGTGGGATGCCATGGCCTCTGCCTGAGCATGGGCATGTACACACACACAGACACACGTGCGTGCAATCACGTGCCCTACTCTATATGTATTCACACATGGGGCGGGGGTGCAGGGGGAAGGAATCTTCAAGTAAACAATGAAGAAAACTCAATGAAATTGGATAGATAATTTGTATGACATTTAGGATAAATTCATCAAAGAGCAAGTGGTCATAAAAAAGAACCAGCCAGAGCCCAGCGTGGTGTGCACCCCTTTAGTTCCAGCACTCAGGAGGCAGAGGCAGGTGGATCGCTATGAGACAAAGACAAAAACAAATGAAGAAAAGAACCATTCAGAAAATTTGCAAGGTAAGAATTCAATTAATGAAATGAAGAAAAAAAAGTTAAAGGCAAAAAGACTGAAATGATCGAGAGAAAAAAATGAGCAAAGACTGGTTATTCTAAATAAACAAGGCAGATTAAAGAACTTTAAAATACCTAAGGAAAGATGGGCTTTTCAAGACAGCAAGCATTTGAATTATTTGTGAAAAGAGAATGGACATAAAAATTCAGTGAAAAAATTTTGTATTATAGGAGAGATACACACAGTGAACTTAAAGAAGTTTAAAAGAAATTTAAAAGGTTTACATCAACAAATGATTTTGTGTCACATTATATTCAAACTGTCAAACTCCAAAATGAAGAGAATTCTAAAAATATCAAGAGGAAAGTCTAGGGCTAAAGAGATGGCTCAGCAGTTAAGAGCACTGGCTGATCTTTCCAGAGGATTTGGGTTCAGTTCCCAGCACCCCCACATGGCAGTTAATAACTGTCAGTAAGTCCAATTCCAGGGGATTCAATGCTCTCTTCTGGCCTCTTGCAGGCACTGCACTTACATACACGGGTACACTTACATACATGTAGGCAGAATGCACACATAAAATAAAAACAAATTTAAAAAAGGAAGATTTCCTAAAGTTACTTAGAACACCTATTAGGGGAATAGCCAAGTTTGCAGTTGTCACCTTACATACAAGCCATTACAGTGATTTCAAATCTAGACATGGACAGAAGAATCAAACTACAGACCAAATATCCTCCAATGAATAGAGGAGCAAATTGTGTCTCTAGACAATAGAAAATGAAGTAGAAGACATAAAGTTTTCAGAATATGATCATGTGTGATTCATCCCAGGGACACAATATTTAGCATGCAGCAATGAACTTGTGCAAAGCACTTTGTATACAGAGTGAACAATAAAAACCAGGTTCCTCATTGAACCATTTGGTGAGCTTTCCGTTCACTTAATTTTTACATCTTTATCAACAGTCAGGCGTAGTGAGTGGCAAGCATCATAGAGCTTCATGACTTTACAGAGTAATAAAACATCTCAGGGCTGTGAGAATACCACAGAGCAACAAAACATCTCTGAGCATCCCATGGTTTCATTTCAAACTAGCTAGTTGGTAGGTAAAACAAGGGAACTTTAAATGGCCTAAGCTTATCAAGATATTATATAAGAATACAGTTAATTATGTGACTATAACAATATACTTTATCATTACAACATCAAATTAGTATTAAAAGTTAACAATGAAAAAAAAAAAAAAGAGAGAAAAGTCAGGCATGGTGGCACGCACCTTTAATCCCGGCACTCGGGAGGCAGAAGCAGGTGGATCTCTGTGAGTTCAAGGCCAGCCTGGTCTACATAGTGAGTTCCAGGACAGCTGGGGCTACAGGAAGACCCTGTCTCAAAAAGACCAAAAAAGTTAACAATGGTTCTTATATTTGTGCAGCAAGAAGAAAGTAATTGCTACCGAGGGTCACAGGAAGTTAGACTCACCCAAGAATACCAGGCTATTGTAATTCTCCAGCATGACATCTCTGTAGAGGGTCCTCTGAGCAGCATCCAGATCCTGCCATTCCTCCCATGTGAAGTCCACTGCTACATCCTCAAACGATACCAACCCCTATAATGACAAATCTGTCTCAAATCCAAGTTGCCTTAGGAATAGAAAGTGGAATTCACCCTTTTATGTTTATGTGTACTGTAACAGTGTTTTGTTTATCATGGAAGAAAAAAATCAACACATATATCTTACCTCTGGTGTTAATCCAGTGGTTCAAGAAAATATTAAATAGTTTTCCAAAGAATTACAATAGAAACAAAATCCACTGAACATAAGTTTACATATGGCTTATGATACTAAGAGCAAGAGAAAGACATATATAAATCTATCCATACGAAATGACAGTAGGGACTGGAGAGCTGGCTCAGCAGTATAGAGCAATGGCTGCTCTTGCACAGGACCTGAGTTTGGTTCTCAGCACCAACATGGCAGCTAACAACCATCTGTAACTCCAGCTCCAGGGGAATCAAATATCCTCTTCTGGTCTCCGCAGGCATTGCACATGTATGGTATACTTACAAACATGCAGGCAAAATACTCATACACATAAAATAAAAATAAATTTTAAAAGATTTTTTTTTTTGTCTTTTTGAGACAGGGTCTCCCTGTAGCCCCAACTGGACTGGAACTCACTGTGTAGACCCAGGCTGGCCTAGAACTCACTGAGATCCACCTGCCTCTGCTTCCCAAGTGCTAGGATTAAAGGTGTGCACCACCATGCCTAGCTTTTAAAAGATTTTTAAAAAAATGATGGATCTGAGGATGTGAGCAGAGTAAAGAGGTATGCACTCTATTGTTGAGAATGTACAATTAATATAGACATTGCTTGGGATGTAGCTTGGGGGCAGAGCACTTACCTAGCATGTGCAAGGCCCTGGGTTCAATCCCAAGTACTGCAAAAAAGAAAAAGTGCTCCCTAGGAAGCAGTATGTCAGTTCTTCCATAAACTAAACAGAATATGACCATTAGTTACCATTACTGGTATGTACCCAAAAGAAAAGAAATGTGAATGTCAACAAGTGGATGCACTCCATGTTTGTTGTAACATTATTCAGACACAGTACAGGAGAACATTCCTCCGAGTTGCAGAATATCTCGCTGTCCCCTTAACTGGCTCCACATCCCACTGAGGACAGGATGCAAGAGCTGTTACTCACTAGACACCTTATGAGACCAGAGACAGGGCTTCACTGGGCAGCTGATATCAGGCAGACAACTGAGGCTGGGAGGACCAGACAGTGAGATGAGGACACATCATCCTGGCTGGAGGGTCCAACAAAGACTGCTATGAATGTGGCCCAACACAAAAGTCAAAACAGGAAATTTGTTTTTTGAGTCTTTGTGTGTGTGTGTGTGTGTCTGTTATGTGTGGGTTTGTGTGTATGCTCACTGTGTGGGGTGCATGTGTGTGTACATGTGTATGTGTGCACCTATATGTGGAGGTCAGAGGTCATCTTTGGGCATCATAAGACTTTTTTTGTTGTTCCCTCCCTCCCTCCCTCCCTTCTCCTTTCCTTGGAACAATCTAGCCTTGAACGTGAAGATTTGTGGAGGTCAGAGGTCATCTTTGGGCACCACAAGATCTTTTTATTGTTTCCTTCCTTCCTTTCTTCCTTCCTTCCTTCCTTCCTTCCTTCCTTCCTTCCTTCCTTCCTTCCTTCCCTCCCATGATGCCCGGGTACGGTTGCTAGGTACGGTTCTTTAAAAAAGAAAAAAATTCGGGGTTGGTTGGGGATTTAGCTCAGTGGTAGAGTGCCTGCCTATCGAGCACCCTGGGTTCGGTCCTCGGCTCCAGAAAAGAAAAAAAGAAAAATCTCCCTTTACTCCCAGATGGCCTGGAACCGACCTTCCTCAATTAGTGAGGTAGTGAGTACTGCTGGCTGGTGTTTTTTTGTTTTTTTTCATAGCTGTCGGGAGTCGAGTTCTTAAGGCTTACTTGAGCATCACCTCCCTGTAGCCCCAGCTGTTCTGAAACTCACTACATAGAACTCACAGGGCTCTGCCTGCCTCTGCCTCCCGAGTGCTCGGAACCACAGATGTGTGCCACCACGCCCGGCTCTTTCTTCTTCTTTTTAATTTTTAAAACATTATTATTTTTTATTGTATGCGTACACAACATGTATTGCCTGCGTGTAGGAAAGTGCACCCCTCTTGTGCAGTGCACGTGCAGTGCAGAAGAGGCTGTCGGATCCCCAGGGACAGGAGTTACAGACAGTTGTTAGCTGCCATGTGGGTGCTGGGATTCCAACCCCGGTCTTCTACGAGAATGGCCAGCGTTCTTAACTGCTGTGAGCTATCTCTCCAGCCGCTCTTTATGGCATTTTCACTCTTATGTCTCAGTGTACTTTGTCTGTCCTCCATCATTCCCTCCTTCCATTCTCCTTCCCCAAAGAAGGCCTTCTCTCTCTCTCTCTCTCTCTCTCTCTCTCTGTCTC